AATATTATTGATATTTCTCTTAATTATTAATTGTGTGTGCATACCATCATAAAATTTAGATGTTATTTTTAATACAACGTACATATTGTGTCGGAAAAAGTGGAGTTTGGGGGTCGGCCCAGTCTCTATTTCAATTAATCCCATATGTTGTTATTTCATTTACGCGTTTCTCGTTTTACGCGGGCCTCCACAGGTTCAATTGACCACGTAAATGCAGACTATACTGTACAGTAATCTGAAGAGACCACAGCCAAGCTTATCCAGTGACTGAATGATGATAACAAGGTGTAAAACTAAAAATGATGGCCATATACATTTTTGTATCATTGCTTTCAAAAGGGAAAATCATGCCAGTTTCCTGGCTGCTGCTGCAGATCTTTACTAGGAATGAACATGCCAGCACAATCATGGTACAGTACTCATGATAGATTTGTTAGCCTTAATAACATATAATGGTTAGTGTCATGGAAAAGGATGCTGAAGACAGGACCAGGCACATTACCTGAGGACAAACTTGTTATTGAGGTGAAAAACACCAAGAATAAGAAGTAGATGGCATATGTACCTGTGATCAATAAATTAACTAGAAAGGAAAGGAGAATCAGAACTAGTGGAAAAAGCTTCAACAGCAATCCCTAATGCTTGGTCAGAGGACTTGGTCCTTTGGTCCACACAATCATCTTCAATATATATATATATATATATATATATATATATATATATATATATATATATATATATATATATATATATATATATATATATATATATATATATATATATATATATATATATATATATATATATATATATATATATATATATATATATATATTTATATATATATATTATTTATAGACATTCCCATGCTAAAAATTATATTATCAATTGGAGAGTTTGTGTGACACTTTAAGAGATTTTTAGTATCTTCTTCACAAATTCCATATATGACATTAGATAGATTTATCTGATACCCTGTACAGTACTGCAGTCTCATGTGTGTGAGTATATCTTCTTGTTGACCTTATTTCTTTTGTATTAAAAATATTTTTTTTACAAGACTTGACATATACAGCTTACTAGCCATTAGGGGAGTTGGTCTATCCAGTGTTAGTACAATACAGAAGGAAAACAGACCCTGGGAAACCTGTCATGTTTGGTGGTGTCACATTGTGAGATGTACTTTTGAGTTTTTCCTTTTAAAGAATAACTAAATTCTCCAAATTAAAACTGAGAAACTATAGAAGGAAACTCCCCTTCAAATTATCATTAAACTGAAGAGTGAAGTCACAGTTATCTCTATAAAATGGTACCACAAAAATGAACTGAGGCAAAGCCGGACAGAAAAAGGGAAAATGGCCATAAAATATTGATGATGGAATGAGAGATGACTCAAGTAGATATTTGCATTTTTTTCTTCTTCTCTGTATCTTGTTAACCAAATCAATGTTTGTCCTGTAGCATCACATTTTGTTAGTTTACTGAATGTGACATGCACAGGGAAAGGGTTTAGTGACAAAATCACATTAAACCTCTTAAGATAAATAGGTTGTTATGTCTGAACAGCTTTTAATTCAAGGACTCAATTTAATGTCAATGTTGGGAAAATAGATGGTATTAAATTATTTGTTATTATAGTTTCTCTGAATAACACATCAGACTTGACCAACACTGGAGCAGGTTCAGGTACATTCAGGAGCCAGTGCATGCCCAGTATCTGCCAACAGTGTGTAACAGAGACGTGACCAATCTCCCAAGCGGCTAACGAGCCGATCAGTGGTGAAGAGTATAAAAGTAAGTAGGTAAAAGTAAAAGTTCACATGTTTAATAATCCGGGAGTATGTTGGTATCATTGGACTTACTAAAAATTTAAAGTGGAAGCATGATATCCATTTATGATTAAGAGGAAGGAATGAGTGACCTACAAGATCTGTATCATTGTTATCACCTGACAGAGCCTGCCTTTGCCAGAGAGCCTCATATGTTTATTGCCAGCTTGCATTACTCAGGTAAATGATGACAGATAATAATCTTTTGCTCATTTGTATCAGGGTTGATCCAAGGATGTGAGTCACTTTAATCAGGTGCTTGTCTCAGGAACAGTGAGGCTTCAGGTCTGTCTATTACACCCAATATGGGTTCAAGTCAACAATGATTCCTTAGATTTCATCCATGACAAGGTGCTTCAACAGTCCTTAAAGCACTCACTTAATCCAAAGGACTTTCATACACAAATTTACCCTGAATCAACTAAGTTAAAAAGTGCTACTTTCAGCTAAGCTTATTCAACATGGTCAGGACAATATACTGTGTCACACATGTCAATCAACTCTGGTAACAGCAGGCTCTGCCAGAAGTGATTTAGTAGTATGGTTTTTGTAGGTTATTCATTGATGAAGTGAAGGTCTTCAATACCTGTAAGGCAGTTTTCAGCAATTTTACAAATTACAGGAAAATATTTTTTTTAGTTTATCAGTAATTTTTCCTCAATACATTTAGGACCAATTAATAACAAAATAAATCTACAGACATTATTTGAGTGTGTTTATGACCTGTTTAAAGTAAGCCAAGGTCACCTCAGTAACTTAAGGGAGACAACCACTTTAAGGAAAATCCTGTAATAGGCTCATATTTGTGAGATAAAATAGGTCATATTTAATGCTAATTACAAGATTAATCAATTAAAGGTGTGTTCTAATTTTGTGGCTCTTACCATCCTCTAAATAAAGCTGTCAACTGACATAACTGGCCAGAGTTAATTAACCTATTGTGTGTCTTTAAGAAATAATGACTCATACAGTACCTTAAGATGACAATTAAGTTATTTATATCATATATGATATCCAACACTGTACTGTAAATGTGTAAAGTGATAGAACTACAGTACATGATGATCACTTAGGGCCAGGATAGTGCAGTAAAAGTTACATCATTATTCTTCCAAAAATCTTCTTATGAGACCCAATTAATGCAACCTTTCTATCTGCTTTGAGTCATGCTTAGCTATTGACTTGAATTATACTGCAGCACAGTTTATATTATTTATGAGTAAACAATTTTCTATACAGGTAAATAGCACACGTCTCTCATAAACATCCCTGACCATATAATTAAAATACTTACTAGTACGATTCATATGCAGACCTGTACTGTATGCTGCAACGTCTTGGCTAATTCATATAATAAAGCATAAATACACATACATTCAAATTAAATAATGCACTTGGCTCGTACAGACAGCTAACACGTACCCCCTTATACACAAGATCGGGTAACTCATAAAATTTTGTCACACTGCATTTGATTCACAGTCACTGTGATTTATTTGTATTCTTAAAAAAGTAGTTTATTTTATTTATATTGTAATAAAATTTTATTCTTCAAATCAAATATATCCAACATCCATGAAATATATAATCTTCTCTATAAACTTTAATTTAGAATTTCATTGTATATAGATTTGATAAACCTTCAATATGTATACAGTATACACATAAGAATAAAAAAGTAAATATTATATGTATATATGTTTGTAACATTGAAAGAAATGAAAGATATTTGAACATTCGGGATTTGAACCCAAGACCCCAAGCTTTGCCGGGGTGGTGTCCCCCTCAGTTCACCACCATCACTTCTCTCACTGATCACTGAGCTAAATAAAGATCACATTACCAGTTACTTGACAAAATATATATATATTACATGTCAGAAGATCTTACCTCTCTCTAACAACCCATGATACTGGTAGAGAAGCTGATAAATAGCATATTGTCTACTCCCAGTCTATTTGCATTATGACTTTACTTACTTTTTTTATCCACTTTGCCACTTGTTGTGCACCACTGTCAGACATTGGGTATGTACAAGATCTTGAATGTACCAGAACAAGTTTGTGTCAAGCCAAGACTTAAAGGAGCTCACACTTGGGTGATATCGCAGCATTTGCTGAAAGATTATTCCAAAAGCTCATAACTCTTACTCAAAAGAAGTTAGCTCTGAATATTTTCTTTATATATATATATATATATATATATATATATATATATATATATATATATATATATATATATATATATATATATATATATATATATATATATATATATATATATATATATATATATATATATATATATATATATATATATATATATATATATATATATATATATATATATATATATATATATATATATATATATATATATATATATATATATATATATATATATATATATATATATATATATATATATATATATAGTGAACTAGTTCACTAAATCGAGTTAAAAATAACGGAAAAAATTCCTTCCAGTAAATCGAGAGTATACTGTACTGTATCTCAAAGGGCATTACTCAGTCATATGTACATACCTGGAGTTAGCAGGTGTCTGCCCCACTTGAGATTACACCCTCAAGTTAAGAACATAAGAATGGAGGAAACTGCAGCTGGCCTACTGACCCATACTGGGCAGTCCCATTTACACCCAACCCCTATTGCTCATATATCCATCCAACCTATGTTTGAAGCTATCCAGCGTATTCGAGTTAATGATGGTGTTTGGTAACTTGTTCCACTCATCCACTACTCTATTTCCAAACCAATATTTACCTATCTCGTGCCGAAATCTAAATTTGTCTAATTTTAAACTATTGCTACGAGTTCGCTCCTGGTTGGATAGTTTGAGTACCTTTGATATATCACCTTTGTTTACCCGACTTCCATTTATACACCTCTATCATATCGCCCCTCACTCTACATCTCTCGAGGGAATGCAAATTAAGATGCTTTAACCTGTCTCTTTACTCAAGGCTCCTAATGCCCGGGATAAATCTTGTCATTCTCCTCTGAATTCTGTAATACGGTGACCAGAACTGAATTGCGTAATCCAAGTGAGGTGTCACAAGTGCAAGATATAATTATTAGGATGACCTCTCTAGTCTTGTAACTAACACTGCTTTGTATGAACCCAAGTATAGTACTTTGTTAACCTTGTTTCGAGCAAATACACATTGTTTACTTCTTTTAAGATTCCTACTTATCAATACTCCTAAATCTTTCTCACAGTTGGATTTCTCTATAACATCATCGTTCATCTGATATCTGGTTTCTCTGTTTATATCGCCTCAACAAAAAGCTTCAGAGTTCATCTTTAGAGTTAGAGTTGTGAACTCTTGGAATACCTTCCAGAGAATGTTGTCATAACCCTAGAGTAAGTGTGAAATGCTTCAACACCAGACTTGACCATCACTGGCATATATTCAGGTACATACAAAAACTTTGGCATGCCTTATACTGTACTGTACTGTACTGCCAACAGTGCCTAACAGAACACTGACTGACCACTTGATCAACTAGTAAACTGACAAGTGGCAAAGAGAATAGAGTAAAGAGCCGACATGACACGGCTGACAAATACAACATCTTATCATCCACTAAATATAAAAACTCAAAATATGAACTGAAGCAAACAAACTTAAATTAACCTAAAGTAAGTGTAGATTAAGCTAGGTAGGTAGGTAAGGTTGGGTTAGGTTAGTTTCTGTTTACACATGAATTTAAAATATGGCTGTTGCTAAAGAAAACCAGCAAATTTATTCATCAGTATATATAAATAATGTACTACCAAGAGGTAAGGCCTTCTGAAGCGTAGTTTCTATATTTTTTGTTTGGTAATGAATTTGTTATTGAACTCATCTGTCATGTATATGTATGTGTTTATTCATGTTTAACCATATGATCAATTTATGAATACTGTACTGTACATGAAAATACATAACTAATTTTTACTACAAGAAATACATACAGTAAATAAATCTATCAGAAATACCTTCAGAAATGAATGAATTCTGGGCCCTCATGTTCTCCATCTAATGATGTACCAGCAGCAGTTGCAGGATTATTCAACTTGTTTGAAAACCTTACTGTAACTTGCAAATGGAGGTCTGTAGTAATATGCTCATATTTCTACAACAAAAGGTATGTTGTCTGGATCCATGGGTACAGTATATAGTTCTTACCCTTAAGTTTTAGTCAGCTCAGTTTCAGAGTTCATCATATACAATAAATCTTGTCTCTTTGGCACATACATATTGTCAAGTAGATTATTTGTTCTCAATTAATGTCTGAAGCTGAAGGACAAGATTCCTAGCTGTGTGGAGAACAGTTTTGGCATCATGTCTCTCGGCCATTTCTGTTGGAGAAACAATTAATAAATATATTATGTTGTTTTATTTTGTTCTCTACTGTTAAAGCAAAAAATAAAGTTAATATTCATACATGGAATTGTTTTTTAATCTATCTAAAAATACTGTAAACTCTCATGTAACAAAGCAGTATCAGAGGAGTCACTTTAGATTAGATAATTTGGCAGACTGAGAATTTTCATATAAAATCATAAGAGTAATTTTGATATGACATAATCCACATGTCACTTACTGGACAACAAAATCATTAACTCAACCAATTATCATTAAAAGGAAACAGTCATAATAAGTACATATCATCTTAGGCAGCTTGAGTTAGAAATACCCCATCATCTGGAATTTTCAACCTTGCAATATAGACAGGCCTTCCCCCAATTAGTCCAGATTATAAGAAGTTTACTGTATCATGAAATATCTACATCTCACCACTGGTTACATGCTAACATATTTCAGTAGTGATAAAAATACCCAAATCTTGATAAAAAACAGTACCTGCTACACAATAACTTGTGCACTGCTAATAAAAATGATGTGTGCCAGAGTTCTTACCCACTACAGTACCAAGAGACACCTTTACTGACTGAATTATTAAAATTCTCTGATACTACAGTAATCCCTTAAGGAAGAAGTAGTGAAAAGAAAAACTCACCATTGAAGAACTTAATGATATCTGTGAAGTCCATGTTGTTGTCTAGGATGATGTCGCGATAATATTCCACTAAGGCCAACGCAATGAAGAGGACGAAGTGAGCGGAGGAAGCATGCCGTGCTGCCCATATAGATTCCCACACCGTGAACACATCATCGTACACTAATTCTGCGGACAAAGAACAATATAGGGATACATATAGCGTCACAGCGTCCCCCAGTCTTTGTTAGGCTTCCACAGCGTACGTGTGTGTTTAAGTGTTTTTGTTCTAAACACTGTACTGTAACCATTCAAAATGGCTTCCAAGTGCCCATCAAGTGTTAGAGATGCTAGTATTATGAAGAAGCAATGCAAGACCATTAGCCTTGCTTCAAAAATGGAGGTTTTAAACCCATCACACACTCGCTCCACCTCTGCCTATCAGTGAGTACAATACCAAATTATTTAGTTTATTTATCTTTTTGGATATATAATATGTATTTTCTATAAAAAATTCCATTGAATTGATGTATATGTAATGTATTTTATGGGGCAAAGGGAGGCTGGGGAACGTAACTAGCGTATTTGATCTATTTCTTATGGGGAAAATTTATTCCGTTAACGTTGTGTTTTTCAAGAACGTAACCACGACGTTCAGTGAGGACTTACTGTACTGTGGAGTACAACCTAAATAACTACACATCATAGGCAATTAAAAAAATCCACTGACTTCTTTTCCTTTTCAGAGTGGTAAATTAAAACCAATCTGATATTCACTTCCTTCCTTATAGTAGCTAGTGTGGGAGCTTCATGCCTCCATCTAAGTACACCCAAAGAACTTACTTGCTGCTAATACAAAAAATATTTAAAGTTAAACATACTGGTTTGAAGACACAGTGTAACATAGAGTACCCACAATAACTGCTATATAAAGTACTTGCTTCTTATAATTATTTTCATAAATCACTACACACACTTAAAACTGAACAAATTTATGGATGGAGAAGTGTGAAAGCTGAGAGTAAGACTTTTGAAATTTAATCATGATGGCACAGAAATAAAGTTGTGACATACAGGTATTATTTGGGTGATTTTGCTAAATTAATGGAGTTAGATGATGAGTTACAGTGGCTGAGTCTTCACCTCCTCTTTTAATTATCAGTGGTTCAATCCCAGGGCACCTTGAGTCCACCCAGCTGTTAATGGGTATCTGACTTTATAGTTGAGGAAGTGAAGGTAGTCAAGTTCAGTGCTGGCCATGTGGAGGATGGTGCACATGAGCCTCAGTCTACAAAAACACTGCTACATGTAATACTCTTAATTATTGACAAACCTCTCTTAAAGTCGAGGAGGAACCAGCGGTAACAAAAGTAGAAGTGGGTGTAGTCTCCGTTCTGATGCATCAGTTCGAACATTTCAGAATCCAATATTTGAATCAGTGACCTGAAGTGGAGCAGAAACACTCACAGTTAGATAGCCAGGTTAAAATAGAATGACAGGTAGATAAATTTACAGTATCCATTAGATCCAATATATTCCAAACACTTCATTGCATTTATATTAAATTATGAAAAAAACATTTTTTTATAAGAAAAAGTTTTTGATATAGTCCAGAATGTGACGTCTAGCTTTATACCTAGGTATGTAAATGCCTAGCATTAACTCGCCAGGCCAACATACAGTGGTCCCTCGGTTAACGAGCACAATTCATTCCAGAAGGTTGCTCGTTAACCAGAAAACTCGTTAACTAAAACCATTGTTTCAATGGGTTTTAGGGTAATTGGTTCTAGCTCACCGAAAATTGCCTAAAATCAACAAAAAAGGTAGTAAAGTACACTTACTTTGAGGTGTGTATGTAGAAGGGTCCTGGATGATGATGATGATGATGATGATGATGGGAATTAGAATGGGGGTGGAGGAGAAGGGAGAAGAGAAGGCATTGGGGTGGAAGAGAAGTCACCCCATGGCGCGATTTCACCCATAAAATTTTAGTTCTCTTGGTGTAATTCAAGATTATTTTCTTTAAATCAACACTACACTGCATTATATATTGTCAATATGTAAAATAAATTTCAAATTGACCAATAATTTGCTTGGAAACACAGAAAAAAGCGTTTAGTTTAAGAGAGTCTCAAGCAAAATGTTACCTCCACTGAAAAGACACAGAGACTGACGCCTGTATGGTGTGTTGACAGGCTGTTTGGCGCGCATAAAACTAGTTTCCTGTACTTCAATTATGTTCAATAATTGTTAAAATGACAAAAAAATTTAATATTAAACTTTTAAAATTATTGAATAGTATAAACTTCTTGATATTTACTAAAATAGTAAGGAATTTAAGCCCTAGAACCGATTACTGTATTGGCAGACTAATACTACAGCTGGTGGACTGCCAAATGCAAGCGAAAACATGTGGAGGGTCGCTTGTTAAAAACTCGTTAACCAAAGTTAAGAATCTTAGGGAAGGTAAATCGTTAACCGAAATCTCGTTAACCGAGGCGCTCCTTAACCGAGGGATCACTGTACAGGCAATTATAACATCTAATAATTACTTAATTACGTAATATTAGGAGGACAAGTCACTACCTGGCATTTACAGTATAGTCTTCATTTACACGGTCAATTGAACCCGTGGAGGTCCGCGTAAAATGAGAAACGCGTAAACGAAATAACAGAACATATGGGATTAATTGAAATAGAGACTGGGCCGACCCCCAAACTACACTTTTTCTGACACAATAGTACATTGTAGTAGAAATAACATCTTCATTTTATGATGGTATGCACACACAATTAATATTTAAGAGAAACACAGTCGCCGGTTAATGTCCATTCGAATAATGGACTCAACTCCCTTTCCCCCCCTCTTCCCACGCTCGCTGGCTCTCAGTCCCTGAGAAATGTTTGGGAGAAAAGACTAGGTTTTTATGTTTAGTAATAAATTATACCTCAGACTATGCTTAGGATAATATAATTGACATTGCTAGATTCATTGCAAGACTGCGAATAATTTGAATATAAACGTCATATATTTTGCACAAAAGATAAAATTTTTGCTCTCTAATAAAATTCTTAAATTAGATCTAAAATTTGTATGTCTAATGCAAATTTTAGGTTGTTTATATTTAAATTAATCACCATCTTATAAGAATTCCAGCAATGTAAATAATATTCTGGCCGGGTAATTTCTATGAATTTTATGAGCTAAAAACAAATATCTTCAGCTGGGCGACCTTGTGTGCACCCTGCCCGTGCAAATGATGGAATGAACTGCGTAAATAAAAATTGTCGGTCTGGCAAGGTGCCGCGTAAATGACCAAACGCGTAAACCAAATCCGCATAAATCGAGACTATACTGTAATTGCAATTCTCAAAACCCCCTCCCGCACCCTCCATCACACGCATTGCTACCGCCATCTCTTGCCCTAGAGCGAGCAGTAAACAAATGTCAACTCTCGAGGGGTGGAGATGGGTGGGATGTCGACGTCGCATTCTGGACTATATCACAAAAACTGTTTTTAAAAAAAACGGCTTTTATTCAATCCAGAATGCGACGTCTAGCTTTGATTACCCGAACAGGAGGTGGAGAGGGAGGTGACATTGCGTATAAGGCTCCGCTAGCTTAGGTCCAGATTATAATTATATACTTTTTGGAATATTTTCCAATACAGTAGTCCCTCAATTAATGAACGGTTCGATTAACGAAATTTCGGTTAAGAAATTAGCTCCCATAAGGATTTTCAGTTCGATTAACGAAATCCTTACGACAAACACGTTTTGTTGTGCGCATCAGCTGATTGGCTAGTCCGCCAATACAGTAATTGGTTCTATGTTTACATTCGTTTCCAGAAGGTTGTGCTCTTTAATATTTTTGCATTTTTTATATTAAAATTTTTAGTCATTTTAAAATTTAGTTAACATATTGATAATATATGCAGTACAGGGAACTAGTTTTTTGTGCGCCCATCAGCCGCTTGACTCACCCGCCAAAGCGTCTCTGTTTAACTTTGTTTACAGTGGAGGAAACATCGTGTTTGTTGGTCTCTTGAATACAGAGAATTTTTACATTTTTACATTAAAATTATTGGTCATTCTGAAATTTAGTTAACATATTGATAATATATAGTGCAGTGCAGTGTTGATTTAAATAAAATAATCTTTAATTACAGCTAGTGAACTTAAAATTTTATTGGTGAAATTACTGCATCAGGCATGGGTGAGAAAGATGATTCCCCTCAGTGTTCCTCTCCAAAAAGGAGAGAGGATTTTCTTGTTAGAGAATCTGTCAGTCCTTGAGCCTTGATGATTGAGACAAAACACTGCCGCTCTGTTGTCCATGGCAAACAGAAACGACATGTTTTTGAAATCTGAGTTTGCCAACAAAAACAATAGGACTACTGCTAATTCTTTTATGTTTATGTGTTTGTCTCAAAGGGAGTTGCTCCACTTCCCTTGACGGAACTCTCCTTTTGAGGAATGATATCTCTATCCTATCTCGAACGCGTCCGTACAAACGACCCAGTCTGTTTGAGGGGGAACCCAGGGAGATGAACTGATTAGTGTCCAAATTTGTCCACCATGACAGATGAATCTTTCTCTGAATAGGGAGAGAAGAAGCAATATTGTTGTTTCTGTGAAGCAACTTCGACCCCATGTGAATAAGTTGCTTCTTCCTTAACTTGCCCAAAGGAACTACTATGGTGGCAAAATTCAACAGACCCAGTAGTTTTTCCCAATCGTGCCAAGAAACCTCTTGCTTTACTCAAAAGGCTTCTACTTGGTTTATCACATTTGTTACCTTTGCTTCTGGTAGACTGACTGACTGCTGATTGGTGTCCCAATGGAGACCTAACCAATCCAATTTCTGACATGGTAGGAGATTTGATTTGACCTGGTTTATCTTTAATCCTAGGTTTTGAAATAGTACTAGTGTACGTTGGGTCGCCCTTTGACAGTCTTCGAAAGAGTTTCCCACTATCAGCCAATCGTCTAGATAAGCAAAAGTTCTTATGTCCTCCTTCACAAGGATCTCCCTGGGGATGTTTGCCAGTTTTGTAAACACTTTTGGTGCAATTGTCAGGCCGAATAGCATCACTGTTAATTGATAACTTACATCCCGCACTGTGAACACTAGAAACTTTTTGTACCTGGGAGCAACAAGCACTTGATAATAGGCATCTTTGAGATCCAAGCATTGGGCGGAAGTAGATGCTTCAAAAGATCAAAAGTGAGCATCTTGAAACTTTTTTTTTTAACGAAATTGTTCAGGATGGAAAGATCTAAAATCTACCTGTTTTCTCAACCCCCTAGACGACCCAGCTGTCTGGCTTCATTGGAAGGGAATGGTTGCTGATGTGGTGGAATAAGGTCTCCTTCCAGTTCTGAACAAACGGCCACCGCTACTACTTCTTGAATTGTTATCCCCTCTGAAGTTTCCTCTAAGTTGATAACTGAGCCTAGCAGCTAGTCCTGTTCCCCTGTTAGATCTTCCTTTTTTTTCTGAAAGGTCTTAGACCTCCTGGGAAGAATAATATTAATAGCTTGCTCAACAGCTGATCTATACTTAACTAATGTTTATTCATCAAACAAAGCAGGAGAAAGAGGGGAAGAATGTAGCAATAAATAAGCACTACCACTTGAAGCATTATTAGTGGCTTGCTTCCTTAGCTGGGCTTTTAGTTTTAGGGCTTTCAACAACATTTCCAAAAATGAGTTGTACAGGGAATATGGAATCCCTTGTATAGCAGCAGCAAAACATTTGTTTACTTCTGAACTGTCCTCATAGTCCAGCACCAAATTTGTCAATAACTGACACAACATGATTGCAGACCAAATATCCGCTGCCAACTTCCAAAATTTGAACTCTTCCTGCAACAGTGCAGAAGCAACTGGTTTCAAATTTATTTCATAGCTTATGTCAGCATTTTTTGGAGGCGACAAATACTGGGAAAGTCCATATAAGGAACTTTTTTGTCATTAAATTGGAACTTAAAAAAACTAAACTTTTTTAACATTCCTATCTGCGGGAATGAATGTTAAGTCTTTCAATATATTAGCCCAGACTTCATCTAGTTCAGAGATCATTTTGGGGCAAATATCAGGCCAAGAAACTGTAGTATCACCTTCTAAAAACAATGAATGATGACCCACAGTTGCTTGGCCTTCCTGTCTCTTTGTAAGTGCTGAGAGATCAGGAAGTTTAGAAACATTTTCATAAAATATCTTAAATAAGGAAGACTTAGGTCTTACCAATGTTACCCAATGCCTGTTGGGATCATCCTTACACTCAATGTCATCCATCAGCTGCGTGGCAGTTGACAGCAGCCTGTTTCCACTCATAGTAACCAACACTTTTGCCCTAGGTGGAAGTGGTTGCCAAAATGGGGACAGGATGAAGTCAGTCTCAACAGGTTCTCACAGCTCTAGTGACTGAACACTATTAG